AATGAGGGAGAGTCAAGGCTTGCGAACACCATGCAGCTACCTCGATAGTCTCCGAGATCCTATCTCCTCAATCAGCAACCGCCGTAACCGGAAGTACATGGATCTGCACACGAGGTACAGGGTATAGCGTGAGTACAACCAACTCAGTAAGTAACAAACCCCAAAATGTGGGCTGAAAGTAGTGACGAACTCAACCGACACAACTCAATACAGAAAATAACGGTGCAGAAATGTAGACATGCTTTCAAGTTCGATAGATATCTTAAAAGAGTAAAATGGATCAATATGAATGATATGAAAAATATAACTCCTTTACCTCTACCATGCCAATGCACATGCTGTATATGATGCACCCATCTAACAACCTCATGTGCTCACACTCTCAACTTCTCAATCACTCGGTACTGTATATGGCCCAAACGGCCCAGGAAAAATCAATCCCGAAATATATACATCACTGACCATCAGTCACCAAGTACCGAGCAGGGCAAATCCAGCCCGTGGAGAAGATCTATCTCCAGTTATAAAATGCTCCGGACAAGATCCATGTCAATGGAAGATCCATCCCTCAATAATATCAACCGCGCTCACTCGGGTGTGTGCAGACTTCAGAGGGGCTCCTTCAACCCAAGCGCTATCATAAATCAGTATAACCGCTACGGCGTGCAGCCCGATCATATAAATGTCACTCATAATCAGGTCCTCAGTCTCACTCAATCATCAATCTCTCCAGTCTCTCTCTCACGGGCTCACAATGTCATGATACTAACCCGAAAAAAATGATATGATGTATCAATAATTAATAACAGAGACTGAGATATGATATGAAATGAATGAATATGACTGAGTACGAAATATCAATGAAATCAGTAAGACAACAACAAGAAACGACCACTATGGGTTCCGACAGTATCGACATAAAGCCTAAACATGATATCTATCATGAGTGACAACTCAATTACTTTATCACATGATGAAAACACACATATCAACAAGATAGAACCACTAGACAGTGCCGTGGAATCTACCAGGTCACAATTCTCACTGTGCACGCCCGCACACCCGTCACTTGGCATGTGCGTCACCTCAATACCAATCACATAACACATAATTCGGGGTTTCGAACCCTCAAAACCAAGTTTGAAAGTGTTACTTACCTCAATCCGGGCTAAACTCTACTCCAAAATGCCTTTGTCCCTCAAATCGGTCTCCAAACGTCTCGAATCTAGCCACAAGCAGTACAATACAATCAACATAGGCTAAAGGAATCAATTTCACAAGAAAAATACGAAATTATAGCCAAAATACGAAATCAGCCCAAACCCGACCCCGGGCCCACGTCTCGAAACCCAACAAAAGTCACAAAATCCGAAAGCCCATTCACTCACGAGTCTAACCATACCAAATTTACCAAACTCCGACATCAAATGGTCATTCAAATCCTCAAAAATCAACTCTTCAAATCCCTAGCCTCAAACCCCCAAATTACACCTAAAAAACACACTATCTAGGTGGAAAACTAGTGGGGAAACATAATTATTGAAGAAAATGGACACAAGGATCTTACCTCAAGAATTCCACTTGAAAAACCCTCTCATAATCTCCAAAATCCGAGCTCAAAATGATGAAATGAAGCCAAAATCATGAAGTCTCGCATTTATAGACTCTGCCCAGTCCTTCTGCACCTGCGACAACTTGGTCGCTTCTGCGGTCTCGCAGGTGTGCCAACCGCATGTGCGCAACAAACTCGTACCTGCGCCATTCTCCGCATCTGCACCCAACGTGCGCTCCTGTGCAAACCGCTTCTGTGCGTGAATGGCCGCATCTGCGGCCTCTGACCAAAGCATCCCTGGCCGCTTCTGCGGTCTCTTTTCTCACTTTTGCGAGCTCCCATGCGCTCTTCAATCCGTATATTCGATCACACCAGCAGCCCTCAAACTTCAGCAGTTCTTCAACTTCAAATCTTGAACCGTTAATCACCCGAAATCAATCCAAGGCCCCTGGGACCTCAACCAAACACACCAACACGTCTTAAAACATCATACGAACTTAGTCGAATCTTCAAATCACCTCTAACAACATCAAAAACTCTAATTACACACGGATTCAAGCCTAATGAACTTCGAAATTTCTAAATTCTATAAACGACGCCGAAACCTATCAAATCACGTCCGGTTGATTTCAAATTTTGCACACAAGTCACAAATGACCCCACGAACCTAATACAACTTCCAGAATCGGAATCCGACCTCGATATCAAAAAGTCAACCCCCCGGTCAAACTTCCCAAAAATTCGACTTTCGCCATTTGAAGCCTAATTCTACTCCCGACCTCCAAATCACAATCTGAATATGCTCCTAAGTCTAGAATCACCCAACGGAGCTAACGGAACCATCAAAATTTCGATCCGAGGTCGTTTACACATAAGTCGATATCCGGTCGATTTTTCCACCTTAAGATTTCAATTAAGAGACTAAGTGTCTCAATTCACTCTGAATTCACTCCGGAGCGAAACCAACTAACCCGATAAGTCATATAATAGCCATAAAACACAAATGTAGCAGTAAATAGGGGAACAGGGCCACAACTCTCGAAATGACCGGCCAGGTCATTACACATAACTTATTGAGATCTCTTCATTCCTAATTATTTTCAAGTACCTGGACCTCCTTTGAGGTCTTATCATTTGTTATGTCACGAGGCTCTTTTTGAGCAATTGCCTCCATATTATGATCTCCTAGATCATTTTCTCCTTTTCGCTTTCGAGGATTTTTATCTTTGGAACCAATTGGTCTACCACGTTTCAAGTGTGGCTTAGACTCATTTGCATTTATAGATTGTCCAGCCGGGACATCAATTCGAATATGAGCATTAGCAGTTGGAATATGTGACTTAGTCACCCTTGGTAGGTCAGTTAATGCATCTGGAAGTTGATTTATAATATTTTGCAAATAAATTATCTTTTGAACCTCGTGTTCACGTTGATTTGTTCGAGGATCTAAATGAGATAGTGATAATGCATTCCAATCTATCTCTTTTTTCAATTGCTTATTTTCTCCCCCCAATGTTGGTTTACCGATTCATCAAAATGGCAACCAGCAAATCTTGTCGTAAATAAATCTCCAATCATAGCATCCAAATATTTTATAATAGAAGGAGATTCATACCCAACATATCCAATCTTCTTTGGGGACCCAACTTTGTGTGTTGTGGTGGAGAAATTGAAACATAAATCGCATATCCAAATATTCTAAGATGGGAAATATTTGGCTCCTGGCCAAAAGCTAATTGTAATGAGGAGACTTTATAATAACTTGTGGGCCTGATCCGCACAAGAGCTGTTGCATGCAAAATAGCATGACCCCATACCGAAATGGGAAGTTTTGTTCTTATAAGCTTTGGTCTAGCAATTAATTTGAGGCTTTTGATTAATGATTCCGCTAGATCATTTTGAGTATGAACATGAGCAACTAGATGCTCAATTGTTATCCCAGTTGATATACAATAATCATTAAAAGCCCGGGATGTAAATTCACCAGCATTATCAAGACGAAGTGTCTTAATTGCATAATCTGGAAATTGTGCTCTTAATCTTATTAATTGAGCCAGTAACCTCGCAAAGAGCAATTTGCGGGTTGATATATAACAAGCACACATGTGACCATCTTGTAGATGCATCTATCAGAATCATATAATATTTGAATGGTCCACATGTAGGGTGTATGGCCCCACATATATCACCCTGTATACATTCAAAAAATGCAGGAGATTCAACTCCAACTTTAATTATTGATGGTCTGATAATCAGTTTGCCTTAAGAACATGCAACACAAGAGAATTCTTTAGTTTGAAGAATCTTTTGATTCTTTAGTGAATGACCATGTGAATTCTCAATTATTTTGCGCATCATATTATAATCGGGATGGCCCAACCGGTCATGCCAAATAATAAAATCAGTAGTAAACCCTTTGTTTACTAAGGTATGTGATTCGACCACACTAATACTAGTGTAGTATAATTTGGAGGAAAATACGAAAAGGTTTTCAAGCACATACTCCTTTCCCGTTTTTATTATAGTAATATAAAGGTATTCAACCTTTCCTTCATTAGTGGTCTCAATATGATAGCCATTTTGGCGAATATCTTTAAAACTCAACAAGTTTCTTTGAGACATACTACAATATAATACATAATTAACAGTCAATATAGTTCCTCCTGGTAGTAATACAGTCGCTCTTCCAGAGCCCTCAATTAATTTTGTACTACCAGATATTGTTATGATAGTGGCTTCTTAATAATTAAATAAGAGAAATATCTCTTATCTTTTAATATGGTGTGCGTCGTAGCACTATCAAGAAGGCATATTTCTTCTTTATTATTCATACGGCCAACTGAAGACTGGAAGTTTTCATATTCCCCATAAAGAAAAAAAATACATCATAAGTAATATTGAAAAATTTAAGAACAAAAGAAACTACATTTAGGAAAGTAAATACTGACAATATAAAATTTTTTATTCAAAATATGAACTTCATTAAAAAATATTTATTCTTATAATTTTTTCCAATAATAAATCTTCAGATATGATGCTCAAAGAAGTCTCCAACATCTAAATGAGTAATATCTGCAAGGCCTTCAAAATATCATCTTTATAGGCAAGGTTTGCTTCAACTTTATCATGATTATTCATAAGGCCCGCCTCAACATCATTTTAAAAAGTCAAGTGAGTCTCAATATTATTTTGTTTCCCTTTTATATAGGACTGATAAAGCTTGACAAAATATTTAGGCGTACGACAAATTCGTGTCCAATGATTTTCATACCACATCAGCGACAAATATTACCTTTGCCTTTTGAAGGATTATTCTGAGAACCCTTATTGTTCTCTTGTGTATAACCACCACCACGATGGCGATTATTATTTCGTCCCTTACCACGCCCACGTATATTCATACGACCACGATAATTATTTTGTCTTCTTTCAGACTTTGGATCTATCGCTACCACATTCGCTTCTGGAATGGAGCTGATCCAGTGGGGCGGGCTTCATGATTTTTCATTACAAGGACATTATGTTGTTTAGCTACCAAAAGGCATGAAATTAACTCAGAATATTTCTTAAAGCCATTTTCACAATATTGTTGCTGTAACAATATATTTGAGGCATAAAAAATGGAAAGAGTCTTTTCCAACATGTCCTCATCATTCATAGGTTCCCTACATAATTTTAGTTATTTTATATACAACAGAATTATATTCACTTATGGTCTTATAATCTTGTAGCCGTAAGTGAATCCACTCACGAAGAGCTCTTGGCAATACCGTGGCCTTTAAGTGGTCATATCGTTCCTTCAAACTAGTCCATAATTGAAATGAAACTTTCAAGGTTAAATATTCACTTTTTAACCCTTCATCGAGATGCCGGCGAAGGACAATCATGGCTTTCGCCTTATCCTGACTTGATACTTCATTTCCTTCTTTAATAGTGTCACCAAGTCCTTTAGCATCAAGGTGAATTTCAGCATCAAGTACCCATAGCAAATAGTTATTCCCAGAGATGGCAAGTGCAACAAATTCAAGCTTTGACAAGTTCGACATAGTAAAAATATAACGATCTGGCCGGTCGTTTTGAGGATTTGAACCCCGATCCCCTAATATCTGCTTTCCCCATATTTGTTTCTACTTTTGGGATTTTCCGGAGTGTTTGGTTATGGAATTCGGGGAGTTTTGGGACACTTAGTCCCTAGTTGTGAGTTTAAGCCTTAGAATTTGGACCGTAGTCGGAACTGTGTAAAGACGGATCCGGAATGGAATTTCGTCGACTCCATTAGCTCCGTTGAGTGATTTTGGGGTTATGAGTGCATCCGGAATATGTTTTAGAGGTTTGTAGTAGATTTAGGCTTGAATTGGCAAAAAATAGTTTTTCGATGATTTCGGCCGATAGTGAAAATTTTGATGTCCAGCTCGGAATGGAATTCCGAAAGTGTTTGTAGGTTCGTAATGTCATTTGTGACCTGTGTGTAAAATTTGAGGTCATTCGGACTAGATTTGATGTAGTTCGGCGTCCTTTGTAGAATTTGGAAAATTTTAAATTCTTAGGCTTGAATCCGTGCTTAATTCATGATTTTGGTGTTGTTCGACGTAGTTTAAAGGCTCGACTAAGTTCGTACGGTGTTTTAGGATTGTTTGGTATGTTTGGTTGAGGTCCCGGGGGCCTCGGGTGTGTTTCAGATGCTTAACGGAATGAATTTGGACTTAGGAAAAATTTGGTGGTTATGCTGTAATCGCACCTGCGCAAGGCTGCCCACAAGTGCGAGAAAATCCGCACAGAAGCGGAGTTGGGTGGATTGGTCAGGGGTCGCAGGTGCGTGGGAAAAGGCCGCATCTGCGATGCCCGCAAATGCGCAAGACTGTTTGCAAGTGCGCAAGTTACGCAGAAGCGGAGGGGATTTTCGTAGGCGCGCACGTGCAGGTGCAGCCCTTTCGTCGCAGGTGCGAAGGCAGAGAAGGGCAAGTGAATTGCGCAGATGCTCACTTTTTCCGCACAAGCACACCCGCAGGTGCGACCCCAGGTTCCGCAGGTGCGAAAATACCTGGGCAGTGGTTAAAACCGAAGGGTTTCGCGATTTTTATCATTTTTGACTTTGCAAACTCGGTTTAGGGCGATTTTTGAGAGCATTTTCGAGGCATTTCTTGAGGTAAGTCCCTTGTGCTTATTTTTTATCAATAATCTTGCCTTGCCATATATTTTTTCACCTAGTTAGTGTGTATTTAAGGTGGAAATTGGAAGTTGAAGGCTAGGGATTTGGAAGTTTGATTTGTGGATTTGGAGGACCATTTGGTGTCAGATTTTAGTAAATTTGATATGGTTAGACTCGTGAGTGAATGAGTATTCAAAATTTGTAATTTTTACCCGGTTCCGAGACGTGAGCCCGGGGAGACTTTTTTTGGACGTTTTTCCTAATTTCACGCTTTAGCTTCGAATTAATTAGCTAAATTAGTTACTTGTAGTTATATTTATATTATGCAATTTATTTGAATAGATTCGGGCCATTTGGAGTCGGATACTCGTGGCAAGAATGTGTTATCGAGGTGATTTGAGCGGTTCGAGGTAAGTGGCTTGTCTAATCTTGTATTGGAGACTTTCCTTTAAGATGTTTGATATTAATTGATGTGTGAGCGCCGTGTACGTGAGGTGACGAGTACGTACACGAGCTATTATTGCAAAAATCCCGTTTTTCCTTCTAAATTATAAAGTGTTTTTTTCTTATTAAATTGCACTAATACGTTTAATTGTTAAATTTAGACTAGAGAAGCATGCTTACGTGTTTTAACTGCCTATTTGACATTCTGTGTGCCATGCTTAGTTAAGTCCCTACTTTCCTTATATGTGTTCAGTATAAACTGTATAGCTCGATGCCATACCTGCCATTTTATCTTGCGTTGTATATTTAAATTGGGACTACAGACGTATTCCGGGAGATCTCCCTGTACTGCATATTTACTTTGGAACTACGGACGTATTCCGGGAGATCCCCCAGCACTGTATATTTACTTTGGGACTACAGACGTATTTCGGGAGATCCCCAGCACTGCATATTTACTTTGGGACTACGGATGTATTCCGAGAGATCCCCCTGTACTGCATATTTACTTTGGGACTACGGATGTATTCCGAGAGATCCCCCTGTACTGCATATTCATTTGGAACTACGGGACTGTATCCCGGGAGATTCCCCACTGTGTTTACCTTGTTCTGAGTTGAGGACTCCCTTGACTGTTAACTTTTCGAGAATTTCTTTAACTGTGTTACCGTAAATTTTACTTATACCTTTTACTGTTTAATTTATTATATTTACTCCGATAGGGCCTTGACCTGACCTCGTCACTACTTGATCGAGGTTAGACTTGGCACTTACTGGGTACCATTGTGGTGTACTCATGCCCTTTCCTGCATATGTTTTCGTGTGCAGATCCAGGTACGAGCTATCAACCTTGGGGTTAGTGCGTGCTGCTGATTCTAGGAGACTTCAAGGTACTTCTGCTTGCGTCCGCAGATCTTCGGAGTCCCCTTCTACTCCCTCGCCTAGAGACTTTCTTTATTATCTTCAGACTTTTGTATAGAGCTACGTAGATTATAGCAGCTTGCGACTTAGTGATATTCCGGGGCTTGGGAAATATTTTTGTATATGCCGAGTGGTACTATTCTTGGTTATTCACAATATGCTGTTTATCTTTAAAATGCTGTGTTTTCTTTATATTTTTCGTAATATTAGGCTTATCTAGTCGTAAAGACTAGGTGCCATCACGACACCTTATGGAGGGCTAATTTGGGTCGTGACAGAAAACTATGATAGAAAATAAGTGAATTAGAATGATAAGGATTATTATCAATAAAAAAAAAATTCAATGCAGAATATAATCGTGTATTAACATTCTCTATATATAATTGTTAGACCAAATAATTATGTGTAGTGCGATGATAAATTAGTGCTTAATATTACATACAAAAACTTTAGACATGTAAGTATATTTTTAGAGAATAAATAAGTTGAAGTAATCTCATTAATAGGTACTAATATATTTTGTTCTACTTGGAAGACGTTTCAATAAGTTAAGAAGGCATAAAACTAGATGATATCAATTCTGTCAAGTTTCAACATTTAATACGATTCATCTAATAGTTAAGTCATTAATTTTAAAGTTATTAATTACTTTGTACACTTAGGTGATAAATTCATTGAAGACACATTTAAACCTTTTAAAAATTTTGCAAGAATTCCTTCTAAATGCCTATTCTGTCAAAATATTTAGATGTGGGCTTAATTAATCTAATCATTGTAATTCAATTAAATACTTATCTATTTATGTGTAGGTTTAAACTTTTTCGTAATTTATATAATGAAATAACAATTTAACCGCAGCCTATTATTTTCATACCAAGGCAATTATTATAATAACTAGTGAAATTGTTCGCGATTCGCGCAATTATTAAAAGGATCACTAAATCTTTTTATGACTTTAGTCGAAATAGAATATGTTAAGTTTTTCGTATACACAGATATGAAATTTGGTTATTTTCATGAGATAACAGATATAATTATTTTCGTTAGAATTAGAGCATAAATGATTGCAACTTTTATTATTGTATTTTTTCGAAGAGAAAACTATATAATGGGTGTCTACTTGGTTTTAATACACTATTTTCTTATTTGAATTATATTTTAGATACATAAATATAGGAGTATGTGATTTCTTTTAATTTCATTAGATAGTGAGACTTCTGCATTCCTAAAATTATCTTTTCAAATTAAAGAAAAACTGAAAAAAAAATGTAAAGAAAAGAAACAAATAAATATATAAATAATACGTGCCAATCCAAGTTGCGATGTTCATCCATTGAGTTGCATTTTCGTTATGTAATTTTTCCCCATCCTTTATTATTTTTCAAATACTTTCTTTCAAGTTCGTTTTCTTCACTTTTTTTTATCCTTAATCTTTCTCTCAAGTTTTAATTCTATAAATAATCTCATATTCCATAAAAGCCATGTGCATTACTTCTCTATCCTTTATTATTTTTTCTTTCCTTCCCTTTTCTCCCTATGTTATTTTTCTCCTCTAAACTCTGTTTTTTCTCCTCTTTCCTACTGTTACTTAGCAGAATTTCTTAATATTGATCGTGAAATTAGATACAAATTATTCAAGTTCCTGAAAATAACATTTATATATTTAGAAACTACATAAAAAAAATATTATAAGTCATAATAATTTATAATTCAAAATACTTATAAAATATCTAAGAAAAATATGGTCAAAAGATCAACCTTGTAGACTTCCCAAATAGTTATGTTCTCACATAAACTGAAACATGAGGTAGAATTTTAGGCAAATACATAGAAAACAATAAATATATCAGTAACACAACTTAAAAGTAATGCAAATATTAATGCTACTACGAAACTGATTTAAAGTCTATGCAGAAAAATTGATCAAATACGCTTGGTATATGAAGAAGCAAAAGTTCTAGGGGCCGCGGTGCATATACACATTAACTATGACGCTATTAAAATTGTTAGAATTTGCTCGATTGCTGGTGAACAGAGAATCTAAACAGCAAAAAATAACAGGGAGGACAAAAAAAACATCTCTCACATGTAATAAAAGAAGACAAACTCATATTGAAAAATGTCAAATTTATCATCCGAATTAGAGATAATGCAAAGATTTAATCAGCCAACCCCATAACTTGAGATTGCAGAGGCTTGGGTGGCATTTTAGATTGTGTGCAACAGCTTTCTGAAAAGAAATGAAGAGCCTAAGGAGAGTCCAATACAATGAAAATTCTAAACAGTATATATATAGCGAGACAAATAGCATCCACTGGTGATGGAGAAGAGAAAACACGATGAACTTGAAGATTGATGGTGGCTTCTCAATTCTCCATTAGTATACACAATAACTAATAATAATTAATATAGTAATTTATATGCGATGAATTTATTTGGGAGTTACTTTGTGTAAAGACCATAAATAAGGGAAGGGGAATGAACCATAACATTTATTCTTACAATAAGATAATTAAAAAGTAGAGAAAAAGG